TTTTGCTTATTAAGTAAAATATATTGTACTTCTCCAATCATGAGCCCCTCTCAAAGTATAAGCCCACCAGCGTTTACTTTTCTGAGTAATTGTGTCCATTGATACTATGGTGAATGGGGTGTGAACGAGTAAACTATTTTTCCATGTAACCAGTTGATGACCAGGAGAGGTGTTCAAATACTTATTCCACACTCAGTTTACCTTACAAAAATTGCGAATCACCAGTTTTTAATGAAAATAATCTCAGATTGCATTTTAACGTTGCAGAAATTAATTTCCACAATGCATTAACAAAATTACATCGTCAATAATTGGGAAAACTTTGTCAGTATGACTCAGCTCTTGATTTGTTAATTAAAGACTTGACCTGTTAGGTCAAAAAACAGTTTCAGGCCAAATCGTGCTGAAAAACATCATGGCGGAAATTGCTTTGCATGGAGTGTTTGTGTATGTTTTCCCACAGACCCCACACATTTATACACCATAAATTCAGAGATGGAGTGTTTGTGTATGTTTTCCCACAGACCCCACACATTTATACACCATAAATTCAGAGATGGAGTGTTTGTGTATGTTTTCCCACAGACCCCACACATTTATACACCATAAATTCAGAGATGGAGTGTTTGTGTATGTTTTCCCTCAGACCCCACACATTTATACACCATAAATTCAGAGATGGAGTGTTTGTGTATGTTTTCCCTCAGACCCCACACATTTATACACCATAAATTCAGAGATGGAGTGTTTGTGTATGTTTTCCCACAGACCCCACACATTTATACACCATAAATTCAGAGATGGAGTGTTTGTGTATGTTTTCCCTCAGACCCCACACATTTATACACCATAAATTCAGAGATGGAGTGTTTGTGTATGTTTTCCCACAGACCCCACACATTTATACACCATAAATTCAGAGATGGAGTGTTTGTGTATGTTTTCCCACAGACCCCACACATTTATACACCATAAATTCAGAGATGGAGTGTTTGTGTATGTTTTCCCACAGACCCCACACATTTGTACACCATAAATTCAGAGCATGTAAATTGCTTTGTAATAAAATGTATGTATTTGTATATGTGAACATAACTGTGTCGTGGAAATCAATGATGACTCATTTCGCCCATCCCGTGTACTTTACCTGATTTTACATGTTTAGGTCCCTGGGCTTATGATCGGGGAAGTACTATATACCAAATCCAGTGAAGAATTAAGCTTTATACAGTAGATGTAGAAAATACAGGCATGTGTTTGTGTATCTTAATTTATTCCTTCTTGACAATACTGTGGGTTACAGTACCAGATTTCCAAATAAATAAAAACACATTTTGATTAAACAAACTGTCCTATATAATGAGTATTTTGGGAATCTCTTTATTGAGGCACATTGTGAAAAATTATGCAGATACCATAACTTGTACTTACTAATTTATTTTCCTACACAGTGTTTGATTTGCACCAAACAGTGGATGGACTGCAAGAATTAGCAAAGGGAAAAAACAGGTAAATTTATTTCCAATAAACTTGATTTGTTGGTGAGAGTTCTCTCATTTACTGAAATGCGTATCATATTATATGACATTCAAAATAATACTTAAATTTATGTAATTTCATATAAACTGTCATCAGCTTGTTTGCATTTATTTATGCTCAATCAGATTGTTTCCCATCGTTGTTATCTAGTCCTCTCCATCATTAACCCACCATGTGTTTGTGCTGTTTTCCAGCATTGGAACAACCAAGAAAGGTATTGGTCCGACGTATTCCAACAAAGCCGGTCGTAGTGGTATAAGGATCTGTGATTTACTGGGTGATTTTGAGCTGTTTTCTAACAAGTAAGTTATTCCCAGTAGTCTATACTATAAGTTATTGACCAATAACACTATAGAAAATGGAAGACTATAAAAAATGTTTTGGGCAACCATTTGCTTATCAAAAGGTAATGACTCAGAGTTGGTTGTGAAACCAAGAATAAAAAAAACAAATCTAAATAGAAACACCTAATCCAAGATTTGATTAGGTTTTAGTAAAAATCAATGCATATTAATTACCTAATTTGCATGATAATTAGCTACTGTAAAATGACTAATTTTCACTGGGTATAAATTTCGCTGATTTAGCATTTCAGGCATATTCATGGGGTTTTAAATTCACGGTTCAATCATTTAGATAATGTGTTCTATGCTAAA